AAATCAGAAGCTGCCCTTTCGACCTGAAATTATGGTTGTGACGTTGTGTGACTACAGAATTTTACTGTGTTTCTTACGGATAAAAAAATGGAAACCATGTAGTTTAGTTTTTAATTTTTTATAAATGGCAAATTAGATAAAAGTGATTATATTTTAGTTATCTTGTGATTAAACACTGTATTTTTCTATGTCAGATCATTTTAACATTTCTACCAAGTTAAAACGGTGACAACAAGAAAAAATTTAACAAGTTTAATGATTTTGCTAAATATGTTAGACACTAAAGTTTGACACTAAATCCTAGCAATTTTTTTATCTATGTCAAAGCGATCGACATTAACAAAAAAAATTGTCAAACTTAAATAATTTTCACTGAGAACTAAATATAGTAGTTAAACGATAATTTTGACTGAAATATAGTAGCGTTTATTTATTTTGTCATTTTAAATTGTAAAAAACGCACTAAATTTCCCGAAAGTTTTGATTTTAATATCATCTTGTTTTTTCTCAATTATGTCATTATTTTTATAATTTTGTTGCAATATCAACCAAATGATTGGTTCTTTCTATTCTCCGATAATCAATTTGCCCAAATTGCAACCAAGTCACTTAGTTTACTGAAAATTCCAATTTTGATAACATGTTTTTTTCTTAATTATTTCATTACATTTAAGTTATGGGTAATATTTTGATCTTTACTTTATTATGCCTACCAACTTGAATTTATACTAATACCTTGAATGACCCAATATCTTAGAACTAGCCAACATTGTGGCACTACCATCATATTTCTTGTATTGATCAATGCATGGTTAAAAACTTATTCAAAAAGACATGAACTAAGTCAAAAGGTACATGGTCAAAGAGAAGAGACGTTGAGTCCTTTAAAATGAACATTTCTAGATTATAGAGAAGATGTGTTGGATCCCCATCATGATGGCTTGGTCATAACATTATATGTGACTAACCATGTCAGAAGAATCTTGATAGATTATATTGGTAACTTGATGTCTCCAATGGTGTTCTTGGATTCTCTATTGAATCCTAACAACATCGAAGATCTTCAGACAATTTCAGAATCCAAGATGCTCATTTTGTTGAGATTTTCATTTTATTGAGAGTTTCAAGTACGATGATGTAGATAGATGGCGGGAGTTCATTCAACATCATCCTACTTGAAACTCTCAACAAAATGAACATCCCGAATTCTGAAATTGTCCAAAGATCTTTGGTGTTGTTAGGATTCAGCGGAGAAACCAAGAACACCATTGGAGAAATCAAGTTACCAATATAATCTATCAAGATTCTTGTGACATGGTTGGCCACATATAATGTTATAACCAAGCCATAGGGATCCACACATCTTCTTTATAATCTAGGGAAGTTCATTGATTCTTGTTTGACTCTTCCCTTTGACCACATGCCTTTTGACTTAGTCCATGTTATTTTGAATAAGTCTTTTTCCCTACATTCATCGATACAAGAAATATGATGACAGTGTGAAGATGTTGACTACTTCAAGATCTTGGGTCATTCAAGATAATAGTATAATTTTAAGTTGTTAGGCATAATAAAGTAAAGGTAAAAATATTACCCAAAACATAAATATAATGACATAACTGGCAAAAGAAACACTGTGTCAAAATTGAAATTTTCGATAAACTTAGTGATTTTATGCAATTTGGGCAAATTAGTTACCGGGAGAATAGGGAGAATCAGTCATTTGGTTGATACTGCAACAAAATTGTAAATGCAATGACATAACTGAGAAAAAAAATAAGACGATATTAAAATTGAAATTTTCGATAAACTTAGTTACTTTATTGAAAATTTCCCTTCTATAAACTGGAAAATTATCATATCTAGATACAAATAAATAAATAAATAAAAATAAGAGTAAATTACATGGATGATCCTTTAGCTTTACAGTTTTTCCCTGATATGGTCCCTATGAAACTCTTTTCCCTGAGATGGTCCCTACAGAGCAAACATTGCACACAAAAGGCCCTTATGACTAACTCTGTTAACAGATTCTGTTAAATAAGTGTAAATGATGAAAATACCCTTTATTTTTTTCACACAAGTGGTCCTTAACTCTCTCTCTCTCTCTCTCTCTCTCTCTCTCTCAATTGGAAGACCACCGTCAAACTCTTCTTTTCATCACCACTGACCTTTTACCAACAACGTCATCGTCAGAAGCCTCCACAAATCTCCTCCGCCTTTACCCCCTCGCCAAATATCTCTCTTCCTTAGAAAACCCATCTCTTAGTTCCATATCTGAAAATCATGAAACAAAACAGTCGTGATTCCCAACCTCACTAGAAAGGAAGAAGACGAAGAAGGTTAATGGACAACCTCACCATTAGTTTTCACAGAACCCAGGATATTTATCAAAATGCCCTTCGTCTTCATCTTTTTTGTTCACAATAAGTAAACACACAAAGGAAGATTGGGAATCAGAAGACTAATATGGCTACCGGTCCAGTGCTAATCAATCATTTGAACACGCTGGCATGAAAGGAGGGGGGCTGCGATGCACCACACAAGTACCAACTAAGACCGATTTCTCTTCCCTCGCCAGAAAAAAGGTAATCAGATCTCTTCCACCCATCTTATTTGATGTTCGATTTGGTGGAAGCTTCGATCCGGAGGTGTAAGTTTAACATACGTAGATTTCGTTGCAGGAATTGACGCTGGTGGAGGTGCCAGTAGTGATGGAGTTGGAGTTTGGATGACGGTAACGGTGACAAGGAGGAGTATCGAGGTATGTTCTACGAAATGATGGATGTTCCCTGTCTGAGAATTTGTGGGTCTGATTACAAACCCATGTTTCTGTTCTAAAAAAGGGTATGCATTTAAATCTTTATGTAGGAAATGGATTGATTACAATGTATGGAAAATGTAACCGGTTATTGGAAGGACGCCAGGTGTTTGATGAAATTTCTGGTAAAGATATCGTCTCCTGGAATGCCATGGTTGCTTCCTACGCCCAAAATCGGATGTTTGCTTATGCGTTGGAGATTTGTAAGACAATGATGTAATGTTCTACCTTAAAATCTAATGTAGGCACCATGGCTGGCCTTTCCCCTGCTGTAACAATTTCTACTTCGTCTACCTACGTGATGTTTATGAAAGAAATGTTCATGAATCATGCTAAAGAGATTTTAATTCCTTGGAATGTAATGATGATTGTGTATGTCAATAACTCGATGCCTAGAGATGTAGTTAATCTTTATCAATAAATGGATAATTACGTAATCGACCATGATTCAATCACAGTTGCTATGATCGGAGTGTGGTGGTGGTGGTGAAATTAGGAGAGAGAAAGAGAGAGAGAGAGAGAGAGAGAGGAGGGAGAGGGAGAGAGAGAAAGAGAGAGGGTGTGTGTGTGTGTCATAAGGACCATTTGTGTGCATAAAATAAAGGGCATTTTCGTCATTTATAACTATTTAACAGAATCTGTTAATAGAGTTAGTCATAAGGACCTTTTGTGTGCAATGTTTGCTCCGTATGGACAATCTCAGGGAAAAAGTTTTCTAGGGACCATATCAGGGAAAAATTATAAAGTTAAAGGACCATCCGTGTAATTTACTCTAAAAATAAATAAATCATAAGATTAGTTTTTCTCATATGAAATTAAGCTTGAGTTTGATTTGATTAGGGTTTGTTTCTTTTATTTTTTGGTTAAGTTTTTTATGCGTAAGGTACATGAACGGGTAATGATGTATGTATGGACAAAATCTTGTATATTTCATTTTTAAACTAAAAAATTGTCTTAATAATACTAAAGATTGGGCCTGACAATCGTGTCGTGTTTAGGTTGATGAGTCATGGGTTGGCATGTTGGCGTAGAAAAAAAAATATTTTATCGATTTTAACATGAGAGAAGTAGAAAAAAAATCGAAATGGGTATAAGTGAACGGTTGGTGTCTAAATACATTAAGTCATGTTTTTTTGGCTTAACTCATTAAGTCATGTTTTTCTGGCTTAACTCGTTAAGTCATTATATTAATAAAGTCAAAATGAAATAGTCATATGTATTTATTAAAGAATATATATGAATCCAGATTAAGTGTTTAGTGGGATATAGATCCGGTAAGATTTTTTTTTTTTTTGTAAGAAGTAAGAAAAAAAATTTCGGCTTATTTTTTTGGCGAGCAAAACAAATGAATCATTAGATGAATCAATAATAAGATGATTCACCAAAAAAATTTCCGAAAAAACATTTCGATGATTCATTTTTACGATGATTGTGTTAATATTTACTAAAATTGTAATAAGAGTGATTTTTTCTTGGTTCACTTAAAAATGAATCATGAATGTGCTTTTTTGATAACTTTTTCTTGTGAATCATTTTACTTTTAAATAATCTAATGATTGATTTCTTTG